GTGAAAGAGATTATCCTCCTTCAAGTACCTTCCTGTGCATTCGAGGGTACATACGAGAGAGTCGTTCCGTTTATACGCTCTCGCATTGGTGCGCATCGAGCGGTCACACGAGCACTGCTCGAGCATCCTTCCGGACACTTTAGAGAGAAGCACGAGGGAGTTGCGCGTTTCCCCCTCCGTTATAATTCGACCGTAAATTTTCATCGGATGCGACCCTCTCTAACTTGGTCATATGCCGGCGAGGTGGTACACGGGACCACCTAGTTCTTATCTGGTTCTTAAATCTAATTCAACAGCTACTCGTGCAAATAATATCAGGCGTTGAATAAACCCTGATCTTCTTTGCACAAACATTAAGCGTTATTATGCGAAAATGTCAAACGGTACACGGAATCGATTGCGTCGGAATTATATTCCACATGTATCAATATACTTAAATTATCTGTGTATGACTTTTGATATGCAATTGAATGTACCGTGTTAAAGGAAAAAAAAAAAAAAAAAAAAAGAAATTTGTGAGACTAAGATTCTGAACGAAAGAGGGAGAAAGGCGCAAGACGCTGCTCCGTTCTCTTCGAAATCGGACGGAGGAGGCAAAAAGAGAGGGCTCTTTTTGATTTTTTTCTTCTTTTTTTTCTTTTTTTTTTTTTCAAGACAGTCCCCGGGGTAGATCAGGCGGAATGTGTCGTCGTTACCCCGGGCTGGTCAGACCGTGTCAGACTGTGTCGCAGTCGCGCCGGAGGACGAGCGATAATCGAAAGCCAACTGTACCTCCGCACCGGGAATCCCGTCGGTACCCTGGGGACAAACACAGATCGACTCGTTAGCGTGTCTCACCGTGACGACGACGGTGAGATGTAATCGAGTCAGCGAGTTGACTTGACGCCCGTTTCTCGGACATGACTCGATCTCGGTACGTGACTGCGCGACGATTCACGGGACTTGAGAGAGATCGCGAACGACGTGAAACGGAGATCGAGAAGGATCGGCGATCGATCGGAATCACAATTGACGTTTGATCGAATTCGCGAAAGAGTATCCGCGAGTATCTCTCCTTATCGTTGTGCGCCGCGGGAGAGACTTTGAGCTCCAATCGAGAGTTCATTTGAAGCATTATTTGTCAAGGAACTCGATTGCCGTAGAGATCAACTTTAAATGTATAAAGAGAGAAATCTATCTCGGTAAAATATTTATCGAGAGCGCCCCGAACGATCACCGACCGCGAAACCAGAGAAAATTATTGTTTGATGAAGGGCAAGATTGCCTCGGGATAATACTCGGTAAATCTTGAGATACATTGCCGAGAGATCTCGATAAACACGAGCAAAGCGGGGCGATATCGCGCGTTAGATGGATCAGATTCGAACGGCGGATAAATACTTGATAAAGCGTAGGACTTACAGGCAATCCCGGATCTCCTCGTTCTCCCTTCGTTCCTGGCTCGCCCTGCGCGCCCTGAAAGTATGAAGAAACATGACGGGCGATTTTGGGTGACTCGGCTCGCTCTCGTCGTTAAAGGAAAGCCAATGAGGATGAAACCGCGCTCTCTCGCGTTCTCTCGAATCGAATTTCGGCCGATTGATTGATATATTTCGGTTCGCGAGACGAGACGAGACGAGAGACGAGAGACGAGAGACGAGAGACACCGAGACACGGAAATAGAGCGTGTCCGAGAACGAGAAAGGTAATGATATAGTGAAAACGGGGTCATCCCGTTGATCGCTCACCTTCATGCCGTCTAATCCTGGTGATCCCTGAAAGGTAGAGGAAACCTCGTCAGATACACGACGTAGCCCATCGATAATATCGAGCGTGTAATATTGTCGACAGCGATTTAAAAACTATGTCGCGGAGGGGAATTTTTATTATTACAGATCGCCCTTTTGACACCGTCGCTGCGCCCTCGAGTGTTTCAGGCAGGGATGTTCGAATCTCCAAAAGATCGATCTTTCTAAACACACAATAGCGATTTTAAACCGATCTGTTTTGCGAAAAATTGATTTTTTTTTCAACCAAAAAGAGCTCTATTTAAAAACGATCTCTCTTTGTAAAGAATCGCTTCTTTTTTTCTTTTTAACAAAGAGGGCTATTTCGGAGCGATATTTTTGCAAAAAATCGCTTTCTAGCGAATCGATTTGGAGATCGCACATCCCTGATTTCAGGATCGGTTCTCGGTTTCATTCCCGTTTCGCCGATCGATTCGCGTGAAAATTCCATTGGCTCGGCGAGAAAGAATATTTGCACAGCGCTGCTGTTTCGTTATATAAATATATATAGCTGCAACTCTCTCGATCGCGTTACGTGATCTCCACCTTCCCCCCCCCCCCCCCCCCCCCCCGCAGCATCCCTGCGTGCGCGAGGAAGTTTCGAAACTCTCGTTCGGATTTTCAAATTAAGTTATAGTTGTGCTATATCGCGCTTGATGTGTCGGTATAGATATTGGCCGGGGATATTCGATCGGTTTTCGTTGTAACGAAATTGCATTTCTATCGGATTCGGTACTCGCGCTCTTGTTACATCGAATATCCCCATACTTGGTAAATATTTGTAACTGCGAATTTTTATTATGTATAATTTTATGATGGAGAGACGTTTCCGAGCTATTTCTTAAAAACGATGTGCAAACATTTCTTCCGCGAATAAAACTCTCACTCGGCGTATAATGAATTAGATTCGTTTTAGTCTCCGTTCTTCGGGCGTTTCAACTATGAAACTCATCTTCGCCCCATCATCGCAAGATAATCTTCAACCCCCGCTTTCGTATTATCAAAATTAATCCCGACACCGAGAGAGAGAGAGAGAGAGAGAGAGAGAGAGAG